CATCATAATTTGATGTAACGAAACAGTGAATTTTTTTAGTAAATCCAATGAAGATTTTTCAGTCTCTGACGGAGTGAATAGGTTACGCGCAATTCAATCAATCATATATATAATCTAATTATACAAACCATAAATATCAAACTATAAAAATTAACGTAACGAAGAAACAAAATTGTTCCCAGCGATATAGTGGGTTGCTAGTCCGAAGTTTATAAGAAAAATCAACACAACTCTTGGTAAGACTAAAACCCCCAAAATCTAGGGAAAAAGATATTACAAAATTGTTTAGTTTAGATTTTGAACGGTGAGTTAATGGAGTGTTGGTCACGTATCAACGATTGTGTCATCTGTCTGTGGTAAGGAGAAGAAGTGTTTGTGTTCCAACTCCACCATCTCCCCTCCTTCTCCATCATCAAACCTGCATCTTCGGAAACTTTACATTTTTCCGAACCATCGCAACAACAAATTAGCAATCAAACCCCAAATAAGAGTCAAAGAAGAGACAAATGATCATAGAAACCAGAGAAAATTTTATACCTTCCATCGACGCCTACGACAAGAACAGTGTTCTCTGGTCCAAATCCTACAATGAACTTGGTGGAAGCTGGTAACGAGAACTGAGCAAACGACCGTTCGTTGTCGTATAAATACTTTGGTAAGATCCCTCTTATGAATGAAAATGATGAAGCTTGATCAGTGATGTTTTTATCTAAACTAAGAACGTCAGGTCTTAAACGGAATACATGGAGAGTCCCTTTATCACTTGACGCAGCGACCCATTTCAGATTCAAAGAGATTGCAATGCTATAGATCACTGCTCTTTCTATTCCTCTCCGCAACTACACAATGTAAACCAAACACATATAAAAAAAACTAATAATTATCAAACCATAATCAGAACAAAAAAACAGAGAGTTTAATTAGGGTTTAATTAGTTACCTCTTGTAAGAGAGTACCATTAAGTGGGTTAAAGATCCTGATTAGAGTTCCTTTTACGCTAGCGGTTGCGAGAATACTTCCATCGAGAGTCAAACTCAAGCAAGAAATATCAGACTCATGTGCTTGAATGATTTTGATTATATTCCTTCTCAAGTCATGGACTTGAACTTGTCCCTGTTGAAACCCGGGACAAGCCAAGATTGCTTTCGTCTCAGCGTTAGAGATGCAACAGAGTCCTTTAGGGTTTTTAGCTGTTTCGATCTGACAATGAACCCTGAGGTTCTTGAAACAGTAGACATATATGTTTTTCCTCAGGACAACCACAATGTGTTCTCTCCTCAGCTTCACCGCGATAACTGGTGACCTAAAAGCGAGCTCGCAGAAGCATTTGTTTCTAAGATCGTCCCAAATAAAGACTTTATTAGGAGGGTACTCGGAACTGTTATAACCATTGCCAACAAGAGCAAAGATGTTAGAAAAGAAGAGCATCTCCGCGATTCTCAAGCCGGATACGTGCGGATCACGGATGATTTTCTCCTTGATTGGGTTGCTGTTATATACATTAAACCCGGTCTTTGTTCCAACTATGAAACCACTCCAATCTTGGTTCCAAGAAACTGATAATACCTTTTTGTCACCACCCTTGTCTTCATCACTTGATGAATCGGAAGTTTCAGCTTTTGAAAGCGATAATATTCCACGGACTGTGGAGATCATCGAG